ATTTACTTTCTATCCTTCTTGAGCTCATCTATTTAAGGTCTACTTCTTCTGGGATGTGCCAGGAGACTGCACTACTTTCAAGTGGTGGAAATTTCTTTAAAAAAAAAAAAAAAAAAGCTGAAGGAAACTTGGAATGAGAATGCACTTGGCTAATTGGTTTGCCATCTAGCACTACCTCTTTCTCTAAGCAAGGAGAATCAAGCCGCTGTCTGCTTGATGAGGCAGTGGCAGCCTCGTGTAACCTCTGTAGTTATCTTCTGCCTTCTCAGCTGAATCCACTGCATTCTACATATCTTTCTTATTTAAAGTAGTGTATGCATTTAAAAATAATATTTCTGTAAACTTTATCTAGCAAAACATGGCATGACTCAATGCCAAATTATAGTGATGATTATTTTAAGAAGAATCACAGCGCTTTGGCCCAGTTTTTGGAAAATGTGATTAATAGCACTGCCAGTGCCTTCTAGTGAGCCAGCACCACAAACTAACTATTTGATTTCATAACACAGTGACGTTGTGATCACCAAAGCAACACTATCCGTTTAGGTGCTGGATTAGAATCCAGGCGAGTCCGCAGTATAGTCTTTACACTTCATCAACTTCCACACAGGACATAAATTGCACTAATATAGTAATATACTGAAATCTCAGACCAACTGTTTGTCATCGGATTAGAATGTGATGACACAGAATAAAGATGTGAGACAGAATCTGTGCTGAGGTCTAAATTCACATTGGAAGTCTGGAAAGAGAAGACTGTTTATAAAATTATAGCCCAGGAATTGCTGCCAAAGTCGGCCTTTGGCGCAGCTGTAAGTCGGATGGAATCCACCTTCCTGACGTCAGACCCACCCACTGGAACACTGCTCCTCTGACTGGGGCTTCCCTGAATGGAAACTACATGTCATACTGCAAAGTAGGTGCTGTTGTTCCAGAGCTGTCCACACGATTGCATCTTTGTAGTGGGTTGATTATTTGTTCTCTTCCATACAGCAAAAAGGCCATCAGCACATTTGTGATTTTAGCATTCATATTTTTCATCCCCAAGTTCTGAGTTTTGCCCAAGCTGACAGATTTCTTGCATTCTACTCCCTAGGACCTTCGCATCTGATGATGGAGTGCTTTTGCGTTTTCTTTCCTCCTCTTTTGTATTCATCAATTCACTTCTTCATCTTCTGTTCCCAAGAAATGGTGACCTCCTTGGTACAGATGCTGCTTCCATAGACAATGTGCATTACCATTTACAAAACCCAAGGATACATTTCGGTTTTCTATTATTTAGAAAAATTGGGGCCATATGTAAAGACCCATGGAATAGGTATTTATGCAGAAGGTTTGTCTGGACTAAAAACAAAATGAAGTTTGATGTCATTACTTATACATTTCAGAAGCTCCTAGATTACTATCTTAAAGGTTGTTTTTGTTTTTAATACATGACATTTGAAGTTTCAGTCACAGTGTAAAAAATATTCAAATAAGTTTCAACTGGTTTGCCAGGGAAGCAGGATGGTAAGGGTGATGGGCATAGGGCTAACCTAAGCTTTGGCTAATTGCTTTAATACACATCACACAAGGTGATCCTCATAAAGGGTTATATTATGAATTCAATTATGTAAGTAAGAAAGCTGGTGTTGAGAGATGTGAAGTGAGGTGCCCAAAGTCACCTCCTATGCAGCAGAGTCTACATGACTAGAATCCAAGTCTTCTGGCTCATTTTTGTTTGTTTATAATTTATTTGCTTTTATTTTTAATTTACATAGATAACTATATCACTAAGTAATGTATCATTTAGGTTTCCATGCGGAGCACTCGGCCTCCCAAAGTGGCTGGGATTACAGCCGTGAGCCACCCGCGTCCAGTCCACAATTTAAAAAAAAAAAAAAAAACTTTTTGAGGTATAATGGACATACAAAAAGCCTGTACATATTTAAAGTACACAACTTGAATGAGTTTAGAGGTAAAGTATATATCCATGAAACCATCACCATAGTCAATGTCATAAACATGTCCATCACCTCTAAAAAGCTTTCCCCCCACCCTCTTTATTATTAACCTATTTATTGTCCATAAGAACACCTTGACAGAAGATCTACCCTTTTTAGCAAATTTTTAAATGTTACA